AGAAAAGTCATCAGCAGTCTTCCCCAGCAGTGAACTCTGCAAGCTACAGTAACAGTGAGCTTGGAAGTGTGCTGGGTGCCGACTTTTATGGGCACAACCAAGCACTTCTGATTGGATTTAAGGCCTGTTCCACAGACAGAGCTCATGCCTGGGAGCTTTAATTAGGTCAAGAGTCCATGGTTATGTAGGTCATAGGCCCTTGGAAAGTACCTAGCATTATTCTGGTTAAGTGGGTTTCTGTTGCTGTGATAAAACACTATGACCAAAAGCAGCCTGTGGAGGAAAGAGTTTATTTCAGCCTACAGTTCCTCACTACAGTCCGTCACTGAGGGCCGTCAGGTCAGGAACCTAGCCAGGAGCTGATATAGAGGCCATGGAGGAGTGCTGCTTACTGGCTTGCTCCTCATCAGTTGCTCAGTCTGTTTTCTTGTACCACCCAGTACCACCCATCCAGAGCTGCAACCCCCTCCCCGGTGGAATAGGTGCACTCACCCAACCATCAATCAAGACAATGCACCACAGGCTACTCTGGTTGGGGGGCATTTTCTCATTTGAGCTTCACTCTGCTAAAATGACTCTAGCCTGTGTCAAGTTGACATAAAAACATCAGCCAGCACAGTGGACATAGTAAAAACTGCCTCCTGAGTTCTTGCCTATATTTTAGCAGTAGATGCTAATTAATGCAGAGCTTCACAACTGGCCAACATGCAGAGGCTAGAAGGCTGTGTAGCGCTCTGCTCTAAATGTGACAACTATAATATGCCCATATCCCCAAGCCCCGGGGAACATTATGGCATAGGGATCAAGAAAGGTTTGAACTCGGGTCCTCTGGAAGAGCAGCTGCTGCTCATAACTGCTGAGCCATCTCTTCAGGCCATGGCTCAGTGGTGAGCAGCACGTATTGCTCTTCCAGAGGATAAGAGTTCAATCCCCAGCACTCACATCAGGTGGCTCATAACCATCTATCTTTAGCTCTAGAGGGATCCCTTTCTTATACAGGCAAAACACACTCACAGACACATGCTTCCCTTCCCCCATAACTAAAAAAAAATTAAATAAGAAAGCAAGGGTCATAACTATACAGAGTCATAAGTTATCATTGGGGGTGGGGGGAAAAAAGAAAGATTATAAGAGCCAGTGATAGAATTCTGCAGTAAAGAGTATTGGCTGGATATGACAAGAATATTGCATAACATAAACTCGCAGCATCTGTGAGTTTATGAAGTTCTAACCTTAGCTGAGAAGCTATTGCAATCCATGGCTAATGGGAGAGGGAGAGTCAGTTCTACTCAGGAATGTGTTCTCTAAGAGGCTACTCTGGTTCCAATAGGTGGACCTACACCCATGCTCACAGACAGTACTAATTGGATTCAGTGGGCTCAGAAACAGATCACAGGGATTTCGGAGGTAAAAGAGGTTGGGGAAATGGGAGAGGAGGGAGTTGCAGGGAGATTTGATTAAATACCTTATGGGCACGTATGAAATTCTCAAATGATGAAAAAGAATGTAAGCAATAGAGTGTTTTTTAGTAGGCCACTTGGTTGTGGTATGAACATGAATAGACAACCTATTTTCTCTTTGGTTGTTTTTTCTCATAATTTAAAAAAAGTTTCTCTAGCCAAGTGTAGTAATGTCTGTCTGTAATCCCAGCACTCAAAAGTTGAGCCAGGTGGCATTATCACAAGTTCGAGGCCAGCCTTGGTTACAGTGTAAACTCCAAGCTGGCTGCAGAGTGAGACACTGTCTAAAAATAAAAATAAAAATAAATACAAAACAGAGGGTTGGGGTATGAATCATCAGTAAGAACCATGGCTGCTCTTGCAGAGGACCCAGGTTTGGTTCCCAGCACCCACAAAGAGGCTCACAACCATCTGTGACTTTAGCTCTAGGAAATCCAGTGTCCTCTTTTGGCCTCCTGAGACACCAGCACATGTGGTCCACATACATACATAAACGCTGACAAACACTCAGACTCATAGAAGAAAAATAAATAATATTTAAAATAAAGTAATTTCAGACTTTATGACTTTCTACAGCCCCCAGCCCAACACAGCCTTGCAGACTTATGATAAACGCTCTACCCACTTTGACCTCCACCCTAAACACTGTACTTTCTGTTCATATCCTCTTCCCTTTGGACTAGTTCAGTGGTCCAGTGAGCGCCCTCTCGCCCTCTCCCCCTCGCCCTCGCCCTCGCCCTCTCTTTCCTGTCTCCCTCTGAGGCAGTGTCTTACTATGTATCCCAGCCTCTGGAATGCTAGTATTATAGGCATGGGTCACAATATCCCATCCCAGTGTTCTCTAAGAGTCTCCATGACCCAGTAATGGTCTTTGTCCCTTCCAACTCTTCATGCTGAAACCAGAATACATGCTCTAAAACGCTATTGTGGGAAGTTTTCCTGGAGAGATGTGAAGCTTAAGCCTTAACCCCCAGACAGGGCACCAGCCAACAGATCAAAGTAACAGTCCCACCCAAATCCAGCCTGTTGAGGCAGCAAGCTGATTTGGCCTGGGTAACCCCAAAATAGCTGTATCATTGAAAAGCCATACTCCAGCATGATGCCCGTCTTCACAGCTGTGTGGACAGAGTTTCTCCCCCTCGCAGTTAACTTTCCTCCTCCTATAAAAACTACTACCTGCGGAGACCATTTGCAGCTGGAGCAGAATTGCCTCTACTGGGATGGGGACACGGGAGGAGGTAGTTGCTGTGACCTCGGGTGAGGCCCTAACCGTCTTCCCTCTCCCGCCTTTCTTAGGGAATGTACACAGGCTGATCTTGTTAAGGGCCTCTTGTGGGTAATTCTGGATGCTCTGATTAGGACGGTAATGAGCTGTTATGCTTGAGGAAAGAATTCCACAGCAGATGCATAATACCATTAGTAGTGGCTTGTGTCCTATGAAATAATGTCCCTGCTGAATAACAAGCTTGTTTTCCTTTCCTTGTGCTCTTGACTTTGTTGATAAGGTATTTTATTGAGAAGGTATTTTGTCTTTTTACCCCTCCCTACTCTTACTTAATTTCACATGTGAAATATATTCCTCAATCACAAGTCTATGTTTTCCAGGGTAAAGTGCTGTTTGTGTCAGGGTCCTAAAGGATGGAAGAGAATGTAGAGCATTTTAGGTACAGTGTGACCCAGTAGCCCGAGAATATTGACCACTCCTGCCACCCCAGGTGCCACCCCAGCTGCCTCCCTGTTGTTCCGTAAATGGACATCCGTGCGTTTGTTTGCATGTGCTCAGCCAAGCTTTTCTCATGACAACACCCAGTACACTCACTTCTTAAGCCCTGATCAAGTGTCACCACCTCTGTGATAGCCTCTTTGAATAGCCCAAGTGGAAGTAGTCATTTGCTACATGTGTCCCCCAAAGTTTACTTCCCTCTCTCACAACAGATTTTCTGTGTTGCTGCAATTATTAGAGTTTCTCTTTCGGTATTCCAAACCAGGCCCCTTCACCCGGTCACTCCCTCATTCAGCACATTGTCTGTCACTCACAGCAGCTGAAAATGGTTTCTGAAGAAAGCGATTGCTAGGATGTGGGCCTGCACCTTTAGGCCAGACCCCAAAGCCTGCCTCGTGTGACACCTTGCAGAGCTCTCTGGGACAGTTAAGAAACAGTGGGCTGTGACTCCATACCTCTCCGTGCTTTGTCACATATGCTGTGTCGAACCAAATCATGTGATGTCAAACTTCCTGCCACTCCTAAAAGGTTATGATGCTAGCCCTTTTTTGTGTTCTTGGCATGATCTTTTTCAGGTAGGTTATCCGAAGTCTCCTTTGGCCTTCTCCCACCATGCTTTCTCAGTGTGCCCCTCTCAATCTCCTCACAATTGAACTCCTCTCCAAGTTTTAAAGGGAAACCTCTCCTTCCCTTGAAGCCCCCCATCCCTGCATCATTTTAGATCTCCGTATTGTATTGTCTAATGTTCTCCCTTCCACCTCAAGGCCCCATCATGGCCCCAAAGTCTTCTCTTTTTAATAAATTTCACATCTGATGGGAACCCTGAACTATGGGTCAGCTTCCCATCCTGAATGACTCACACTATTATAGTATTATCTTCTTTTATTATATTAAAAACAAGTAAAGAAATACAAACCCTACAATGATCCAAGTCTCATGCTAAGTGACCTCAGCTATCGAATCATCAGGGAAAATTCCCTGTGCTAGAGTCAGGGTTGTGTCCATGCGTGACGATGTGTGTCCATTAAATTTGTCTTATAGCTCTTGAAGGGCAGGTAAGGAAGACAAAAGGTTGAGGATCCTGAGGGATATGAGGCTTAGTTTGTTTCCATCATAATTTAGACTGGAAGGCCATCTGAGTTCAGCAAAGGGTATTATCTGTCCATCACTACTGGGACCTGTGGCCATCCAAGTTTCAAGTTGGGCACAGCCAGCAAAGCTGTGTGTTAGGCCTTCTTCTGTTCAGCACCTGGGAAAACTGGTTGAAGGTAGAAAAGCCTGCCCTAACAGCAGAGATAAATACACAGTCATGAATTATGGATTATGGGATGGGCCTTAAAGGGTATGTTTACATTTATTCTTTGACCTCTGGCACCTGTGTTCCCTAGGTGCTTCATTCGGAAGTCAAGTCATTCAAATTGACTGACTTGTCCCACAGACCTCACCTTTGGAGGCCAATTATGGTCTAGACTCCTAACAAAAGAGGACCATACTTGGGCACCTACCTTCCCTTAGGAGAACTCATTTTCACATAGGAGGAAATGAAGCAGTAACAGGTTTAATGAGGCTTTCAGTACGATGAAGGCATGACAACAACACCCCCTTTTTTCAGGATCTTAGCCACTCTCAGTCACCTCCCTTCCTCTAGGCGTGCTGAACTCAGCATGTCTGTCTTCCATCCCCCTGGGCCCGTTGGCTTTGGTCATTCGATAAAGCTCCTGCTGCACTCAGGACGTGTCTCTTCCTTCCCCTAGCACTCAAACCAAACATTGCTGCCTGGGACCTTACTCAGCACACCGTCTTCAGCTGCCGGACTCATGGCTCCACTGTTCAACTTGATGCTCGGTGAGTGGCTCTGCTCCTGTTTGTCTAGACTTCAGGGCTTCTGGAAACTTCACCAGGAGGATAGTCTCCAATGCTGATTCAGGTGTCTTTCAAGAAAGGCTTCCTATTTATGGTAACTTGTTCTAAAGCTTAGAAAGCCCCTAAATCCATGTTTGAAGTTTGCCTTAATAGCCATGTTTCTGTCTGTTTCCCTATATTTACACACCCTTACATACATTTCCTTGTACACACATTCCCCTAAATGTACTATTACTAAGGGAGATGACTGGATGTTGGGGAGCAGTCAGTTAGAGTAAGGGAGAAATCCAGCTGTCGTAGGGATTTTCTTGAGTAGCTCACACTTACCCCTTGAGAGTATTGTCTTTCTGTAATGAAACTCCGCCCACCTCCTTTCCTCAGTACTTTTTAAAAAAGTGTTTATTTTAAAAAAGAAAACAAAGGAAGTTGAGGTACAAAATAATTGTCTTTTATTTGTCTATTAGTCTAGTGTCCCATGAAAAGTGTTTCACACATTTCTCTAATTTTCCCAAGGTCAGTCTAGATCAGGAGCTCTCAACATTTGGGGTGGAACAGCCCTTTCACAGGGATCGCCTAACACCGTAGGAAAACACAGGTATCTATGATATAACTCATAGGAATAGCAAAATCACAGTTATGAAGTAGCAGCAAAGATAATTTTATGGTCACCACAACATGAGGAACTGTATTAAAGGTTCACAGCATTAGGAAACTTGGCAATCACTGCTCTAGATATTGGATAATCTGGAGTTTTGGATACAAAGAAACATGTATTTTAGCCATGACTCTTAACTGAATTTGTGAGTTACCATACTTCTTTGAAGTTTGCTCTCTGATCTATGAAGTAAAGATGTTACATTCTGCAGAAGTTTTTAAGAGGATTTTGCGTGTTGTACCTATGTCTAACAGAGGAAAGCATTGTGTTGTTGGACAACCTTATTTTGAGACTGAAGTTGGTCAGTTAGTCTAGGGTGGTTAGCCAGTGAGCACTAGAGAGTCTCCTGTCTCTGTCTCTCCACTGCTAGGACTACAAGCTTATGTCCTACTAGAAACCTTTTACTACATGATGTAATTAATATATGATCTGCTACCCTAATAAGTCACATCCATTTTTAGTGTCTTGATTACTGAGATTATTAGCAATGCCCACACTCTTCTTTCAGTTTCAGATTTATATGTCCAGGGAAGGGTCCTGACCATGTCTTAAACATCTCCATATCCCAGCAGAAACCAACAACTAGTCTTGCCTTGTAGATTATTGTTGAGCCCCCAAGGCTCACCTGAAGTCTCACATTCACAAAGGCCTTCTCCTGTCAATGGTGTTCAGAAGCTCCAAGCCATTTCCTGGCTGTACCACTTCCGTTCCTGTGTGTCAGCTCAGCACACCCGCTTTCCATCTAATGTCCTTCTGTTTTGTGTGGGAGGTAATGCAATGTACACATGTAGTATAGCCGAGTCTTAGGCATTGTAATACACAAGGCCTCAGTTGCTGACTGAAGATTAAGAGTAAGAGGCTCCTCCAGGCATGGTGGCACATGTTAAGGTCCAAGAGAAGTCCCCATAAAAGACCACCAATCATAGCCAGGTGTTGGTGGCACACGCCTTTAATCCCAGCACTCGGGAGGCAGAGGGCAGGCAGACCTCTGTGAGTTCGAAGCCAGCCTGGTCTACGAATCGAGTTCCAGGACAGGCTCCAAAGCAATACAGAGAAACCCTGTTTCAAAAAACAAAAACAAAAACAAAAAAACAAAAAAAAAACAAAAAAAAGACCACCAGTCACGTATGCAATTAGCAAAATCACTTTCTAATCCAGCTTGTTCGAGTGCCACATGGCAACAATGAGAGAAGGAGGAAAGCTCCTTTTAAGCAAGACTAGAGGAGTTCCAGGGAGGGGAGGTTAGTCTGGGGGCTGATTGGTGGGTTTAAACAAAAAGTTTACTGGTTGTTATAGGATTGGTTAGTGGTTTAGTAATCAGTTAGGGTCTTTTCAGCTGAAGGATGGGAGAAACTATTTTTAGTTCTCTCAAGCTTGCACAAGGCTGTGGGGTGTCCTCTGATTGGTTGCCCCTGGGTTGTTGCTTTCTCAAGAACTGCTTGCTCAGCTCCAGCCAGTTCCAGTAAACTGATACTAAGGCCTGGTCTCCGGCAGGGGTCATTGGAAACCTATCATGGCCCTGGTCTGGCTCCTTGCCCTCTCAGTACACACATTTAATCCCAGCACTTGGGAAGCAGAGGTAGGTCAGTCTCTGAGTTCAAGGCTAGCCTGGTCTACAAAGTGAAGTCTAGGACAGTCAGAGCTACAGAGAAACCCTGTCTTAAAAAAAAAGAAAGAAGAGAAAAGAGAGAGAGAGAGAGAGAGAGAGAGAGAGAGAGAGAGAGAGAGAGAGAGAGAGAGAGAGAGGAAGAAAGAAAGAAAGGAAAGGAAAGGAGAGAAAGAGAGAGAGGGAGGGAGGGAGGGAGGATGGGAGAGGGAGAAAGAGGGTGGAGAAAGAAGAGGTTCCTGGGAAGGTATTTCTAGAAAGAAGTTTTGAAGATTAATCACTGAGCTGTTTGTTTGAAACTCTAGACTGGTCCAAAGACACTGCTCTTTCAGGAAAATCTTATGACTTATGTGGCAGGCAAATTACATAACTGAAAATGCTTAGCTTCGGTAGCAATTGAGGGTTACAGGGCTTCACAGTATGAAGAAAGTGACAGAACGTCCAACCACACACAGCTCATGTAGAGGGAAAATCACTCATATTCCAAAGAAATGCTGAGTATAAAGAGCTGCTCCTGGCCTGTTGATCTAAATTAAGTTTAGATGAACCACAGTTTACAAGCTGCGAATGACTTTTACACCATTAAATGGTAGAGGAAAATAAAAATAAAAATATCATTTCACAATGCATAAAAAATTACCTGAAATTTAAAATAATGTCTGTAAGCAAAGGTCCCCGATGCTCATTTGCATCGAGGGGGCAGAGCTGAGCAGTTGTAACTCAGCATGCAAACTCCAAAATCAAAAATCTTTGCCACTGGCTCCATACAGAGGAGTTTGCTTACTCCCATCTAAATGAGTGCCAGTGAACACAGCCAATCGTGCCTCTCTACCTTCTACACCAGTGACCCCAGTGGCCTCAGTGCTCTTTTCTGTGAACCAAAACACTACATCACCACACTCCTACTTGAGGCAGCCACAGTTAATCAGAGTAAATGATAGTAGTAGATACTGCCTGGCTCAGCCCGAGGTGGAGCTGCAGTTACAGGCAAGGGACAACTAAGTCAGTTAATTCAATAGAATTGGCCTCTGTGACACCCATGGTGTCCTTTGAGGCTGGTGCCAGAACAAGGCCATGACAAGACTGCCCTTGGAGGCTATGTGTCTCCCATGTTCCCTGAAGAAGTCTGATCAGGGCCTTCAAAACGAGGGTGGTTTGAACAAAGACTTGGAAATTGACTCTCTGACCTTCCTTCCTGTTTTACTTTCTTTCTTTCCTCAGCCATCTCGGCCATTTTCATTGGATCCTGCCTCTCAGGTAAGGATTTTTTTTTTTTTGTCTGTCTGAGTTTTTTTATTTTGTTTTGTTTTGTTTTGTTTGTTTGTTTGTTTGAGTTCTCAAGAGAGAAGCCTCCAGGTTTAGGACTGAAGAAAATCTGTAGCTTCCTAGGCTGTGAAGTGATTCAAACCAGGCCCACGTTTGCCTCAACCTTATTGGAAGCTTCGGGTAGCAGTGCTTCCTTCCCCTGTGCAGTATGTGGCTTGACCAGCAAAAGGGAGACTGAAGTTTAGCCGGCACTTTCTGCCTCCTCAAGGAGCCTGTACAGTGGTGAGAGTGGTGCTGCCTAGGGCAGATAAGGGGAATCGGGAGAGGAGGAACCACAGACTATGCTTTCAGTTTCTTTTACACTACCCCTCCATGCTCTCTTTTGCTGGATGGTAGAGGCTTGACCAGAGACAACTCCATTCTGTGGTGATATTTTGTTTATGATCTAACAAATAAAGCTTTCCTGAAGATCGGAATGCAAAGCTAGCCACGCTAGTTAGCCATAGAGGCCAGGCAGGGGCAGCACACACCTTTAATCCCAGCACTTGGGAGACAGAAGCAGACAAATCTCTTTTAATTCAAGGCTACCATGAGATACACGAAACTGATCCAGTCTAAAAGAGAAACAGAGCTCACACAAAGGTGACCTCAGCACTTGGGATCTACTCCTTTAATCCCAGCACAAGAGAGGAATATAAGGTAGGAAGAGACAGGTGCTCAGGGCAGTCTGAGCAGTCTGAGGAGCGGTGTAATCTGGAGATGCAATCTGAGGACAGGATGGCCCTTTCGGTCTGAGTATTGGTAGAGGTGAGAACTTTCTAGTGGTTGACCACTTTGCTTCTCTGATCTTCAGCTTTGACCCCAATGTCTGTCTCTGGGTTTTTATTATTCGTACTACACCATACATTATTATAGTGAGATCATCTGCCACATAGATGCAACTTGATGTGTTAGGTGCTGCTTCTGGGTTCCTATACAGGTGCTGAGATCCCTTGATCTTTTTCTCTTAGCCTCCATGGTTGTCACCAACACAGGCGCTACGTGCTCTCTTTGTAGTCTCCTCACACCAAGGATGTCACTGTGGTGTGTGGTGTGGTGTGTGTGTGTGTGTGTGTGTGTGTGTGTGTGTGTGTGTGTGTTCTGCCAGGACACCCCCAAGAATGCAATTTCCCTCTCTGCTTCATCCCTCAAGCTTAATTTCCTCAAGTCGATTATCACCAGTCAATTCCTTTCTACTCATCCTCCATGAGCTCTTGGCTTGCGTCATTCTTCCTAGAAACTGCTCTCTACACTTCTACTCCATTAAAAATAAAAAATAAAAATTTGTTAGAACAAGAATTTTACAATCCAAAATGAAGTAAGTTAGCCCACACATGATCCAGATAGCAAGTTTTTTCCTGATCTTCAAGATAATGCCAACCCAGACTCTAATTTTCAATCCAATGACCCCAAAATTACCTCCACATGACTCTCTTGATTTATATCTGTACCCTGGCACACAAACTTGAAACTCAAATGCACAACAGTGGGAACTTTCTTAGTCTTTTAAATAACAGAGCATCCTTCATTTTTGACAATCCCATACATGTGAACAATGTATCTTGATAAAAGCCATTCTCAACTTGTCCCTCCTATTTCCCCAGACACTCTCAACGTATCCCTTTTCCCCCTTCATGTCCTCTCCTTAGAACAAAAAGAAAACAAACAAACAGCCCTATTGGGCTGTCAGCTGTTCTTGTTGGCTTGATCTGTGCAAGTCTAATGCCACTAACCGTAGCTGCCATGAGTTGGTGAAATTGCTGCACAGTGTTCAGAAGACAGCATTTCACAGCACTCCTCCCCATCCTCTACCTCTTAATCTCTTTCTTCTCCTTTTCCACCATGTTCCCTGAGGTGCGGATATAGGTATCTCATTCAATGGTCACTTATTCTCAGTACTTTGGCCAGCTTTGAATCTTTTCATTAACTGATGCCCACTGCAGAGAGAAGATTCTCTGGCCAAAGCTGAAGGAAGCACTAATATACATACACAAACACAAATATTTAGAAGGCAATTTGACAACATGCTATTTTTTAAGGCAATAGCAATAGGTTACCCCCACTCCCTGACCTATAACCTCTCCATGGATGTTTGATAAGGCTTGCATTGCCAAGCATGAATTCCCTCTGTGGAGCAGGCCTCAAATACAATCCCAAACAGTCAATTACTGGCATAACTCTCATGCCACTATATAGCACCAGTTAGCATATTTTTCCTGGAAAGTCAGTTTATAGAAGGCAACCTCAGCACTAGGTATTCCACCAGTAGCTTTTCTCCCTCCTGCAGCCTGAGCAGTGCCTTTTGGCACTATGAAAGGTATTAGGGAGGAAATTTTCAGGTCAGTTCCAACTTGATTTCACTACATCATACAGCCAAAATATGATGCATCTTCTGCAATAATATCTTAACATCTATTTATGTTCAGTAACCAAGAGCAATGACAATGCCTGTGTTGTTTATGGAGCCACTGGGCCCTTCCTAGCCAATAACTCACAAGGTGGTATCTCAGACTGGACAATGAGATTTTCATGTCTTCTAGTGAGAAGCATTATGGACCCTTGCAGGCTAACTTGTTCAAATTCATTCTTCTCTCAAAAAATTGTGTTTTTAGTTATCCTACAAAGTAGTGGGTTTCTATAATGGTTCTTCATATATCCTTGGTTTTAGATGACTTACCCCGCCGTTTCCTCTCCTCTGTCTTCAAGCTCCTAACCCTACTTAAACCCTTAAGCTCTAGGATTTTATTATTTCTCTACTTTTATTCTAGCCTATCCCCCCACTCCTTAAGACCTCTTCCTCTTCCCCTCTCATGGGCCTTTCTAGGTTTCTTCATAAACACTTCAAATTAAACATACAAACCTAATCATTTTATGCTAGAATCCGCATAAGAGAGAGAACTTGTGATGTTCATCTTTCTGGGTCTGGGTTACCTCAGTATGATATTTTCCAGATCCATCCATTTTCCAGCAGACTTTGTAATTTCATTTTTCTTTAAAGCAAGTAAAGCTCCATTGTGTATATGTACCACATTTTCATTCTCCATTGTTCAGTTGATAGACATCTAGCCTAATTCCATTTTTTTATCTCTTCTTAGTTTTTTAATGGTTACATTTTAATTTGTAGTCTTAATTTTAATTCATGATACTGCTTTCCTCCCCAAAAAATTAATAAAGGATAATTAAAATGAGCCAGTAAACAAAACATAAATTTCCAAATAAAACTTAAAACTAGGCAGACCACATTGGTCTTAGTCAACTACTGTTCCTGAGTGGAGTCCAGGTCTGGAGAGTTTGTGAAAGGTTGAGACAGAATAGACAGTGGGAAATCCGAACCTCAGGAATAAGACTGTGACCAGTAGGCAATCATGGTGGCCTATATTAAGGTGTCAATCTCAGGACCAGTCACAGACCATCAGACCAGATGCGGTCTTCTCCAATACATTTGGCCTCTCGGTTGACTTTGCCACTGAATGAAGATGTTATTAATTCAGTCCTCTGAGGCTACAGCAGATTTGGCAAGACTGTTTCAAGCTGTAATAAAATCTCTCAAGAGGAATAAATCCTATCTTGTTCCTCATTCTTCTCTGAGTACACATACATTGTCTGATAGGCTTGTCTTCAGTTTCCCTAACTGCCTTCTCTACCCTATTTCCTGGTGGACAGGAGAGAATTTGTTTGTTTGTTTTTTCTTCCACACACAGGATTTTAATAAGGAAATACAACTAAGTTCTTGACTCCTCAGAAACTCTGAGGAGGCTCCCAAGTGCCTCCCTCTTTCCCATTGGCCTCTAGTCAATTGGGGTTTAAGCCTTTGAAGCTCTGACTCTTCCCTTGCCAATTTCTTCTGAGCTAAGTTTTTAGACAGGGGTAATGTTGCAGGAAATAGCAGGAGAGGAAAGAGAAAGAGGAGGAGGAGGTAGAAGGGGAAGGGGAATGTGGAGGAAAAGGGGGAGAGGTGAGAAGAGAGCAAACAGAAGAAAATGGATCGCTACTATCTCAATCTGGCTACCACAAGAGAAAGTCATAGAATGCCGAGTCCAGCTCCAGTGCGGTTCTTGTGCCACAGGACAGATGTGTGAAGTTGTCGAAAATGAGGAGTCTGACCACTGGTTGTCTTTCAAACTTATGGCCCCGGCTACCTCAAGCTGTCTTTATTTATACAAGTTCTAATGCACTCAAGCATGAGCAGTTTCAAATCATTTCTCTTTAATCATTTTCCAAGAATCATTAACATTTTAATTTCTTTTCTTTTCCACTCCCTGGAAGTCGTTGACCTTTATCTCATATCACTATATAGCAAACCAAATGTTTAGATCTAGCTATATACATCTTATTCATATTATGCCCTAGCTAGCAGCAAACATGCGGTTACAACGTAAGAGATTTAAGCCCTGTGATTAGTTCTAAACAATATGAAATCAGCTGAGTACATTGGGGTGCCTAGGATGTCATTTTTCAGGTGTATACCAGTTTCTCAGTAATCTGTACATCACTTTTATTATATGGATTGCAGTTATAATCATTATTTATGAGTTCTCAAAATATTAATGATTAATACCTAACTCTTTAACTATTGGGACTAAACTTCCATTCTTCTTGCCAATTTCTGCATGTGCTTCTCTTTTAAGAGAATTGGGAGTTCTAGATTCCTTTATTGATCCTTTGATATTGAAAAAGCATCTGAGTGTTCATGTCTTGGTGCCAGAGATATGTCTGACCTTTCACGTGCTAGCTCTTTTTCCTTCTGTGTTCCTATAACGTTTTGAATGCCATCCTTTAAGAAACCATTTTCTTGATTCTTAAGTTCCTTGGAGTATATCTTTCTCTTTTTGGAATTAAATAAGCACCAATCATTAACCTTAGTGAGTTCCCCCTGCTTATTCAGGAAGACTACAAAGGCAGTCAGAGGCAACCGGAGAAACTGGTTTCTGTAGCAGATCAGAGAAATTTAATTTTCTGTAGAGGCTTTTGTTCCCAGTAAACTGAGGCATAATCTCGACTAACAAAGCAAAACTAAGAGTTGCCATAGGATTAAGCATAGCAAAAGTTATAGAAGCCTGAAGCCCATGAGCTCCCTAAGATCAACACAGGCGTTTGCAGTATTGTTTCCATAGGTCCTTGCCTATTGGATGGGATTCTCCAAAGGGCCTCACCATTTCAGGAGCTCCATTTGCAACATTTATGCACCATTCCCAGGGGTGACAGCATGGCTTCTGCCAATGAAAAATAAAAGAATTACAAAATTATCATCCTTACCCTTTTGTTCTGGGCTGGGGCCCAGGGTGACAGCCATTGCTTCTATGAGGAGAGATTTCCTCATCTATGAAATTGAGAGTAGACATTTATTGGTCCTCTCATTCTGACCACTAGAGGGTCTAAAATCTCTGCCAAGTCTTCAGCCAGCTTTGTCATCATCAATCTGATAAGGATATCAGTACATGCATGTCTTGAAATGACATCTCTTGGTTGTGTACAATTAAGATCATAAACATATCTTGAAGTTCCTTTAACTCTCCTATCCTGAATCCAATTTCTCCATGCTGTCTGTCAAAGGTATATGGGTCCCAAAACGGCTGTATATACCCCCAAGCACACTTTTGCTTCTCTGAAACCTCGGGCTAATATCTCATCTCTTTGCAGAGTCTCCACCCAAAGTGCGGCTAGTAGGAGGTCCCCACCGCTGTGAAGGGCGAGTGGAGGTGGAACTCAATGGCCAGTGGGGGACTGTGTGTGATGATGGCTGGGATCTGAAGGATGTGGCTGTGGTATGCCGGGAGCTGAATTGTGGAGCAGCCCGAAAAACTCCACGTGGTGCAAAATATAAGCCAGCGGCACCAAAAGAGCAAAAAGTTCTTATTCAAGACGTCAACTGCAATGGGATGGAAGGCACATTATCTGAATGTGAGCAAAATGAAGACGTTTTTAATTGCCCACATGAAGAAGATGCTGGGGTACAGTGTGAGGGTAAGTATAGAGGACTCAAAGAACATCTTCCAGTAGCCTATAGCCCATGTGACCATCCTGTTAATCTTTATTTCCTGTCATAGGCTGTCACACAGTGCTCAATGAATGATGGCAACATCACCCTTTACATGTCACACTTGATTGACTGAGAGACCTGGATAAAATAGTACCCATATTGCTTCTTTCTTAGTTTCCAGTTAGCTATGAGGTCCAATTTCTCTTATTTACGTACATGCAAACAAAACACACAGATCCATCAGCCGCTGAACATTTGTTCAATGCCTATGTCTGGATCTGGGATGTAGTTATGGAAGAGCACATGGGATTTCATAAGTGCTCTTGTGAACATTTCAATTCTCAAGTTGTCTATCAGCTTAGTTGGGGAGACAGGAGGTGCTGGTAGGAAGCCAAAGCAATCTCAGAGACAGATGGACATAGGGATATAAATGGGCAACCAATGGGGTTGCACAAATAAATGGACACAATGTCATGTGTTCCTTCACTGTGCTACATAAGAAGCTTCCTATGAATTAACAGTATTGTGTGCTTTCTCCAGAGACTGTGACATCACTGCAAGCCTGGCTCTGTCCCCTTCTTTTTGTCTCCTTTTTAAAGAATTTATCATTAAAGAAAAGATGAACACACACACACCTCTCCCCCCCTCGAATGTTAAAGTCTATTTCTTAGGAAAGCCAGGATTTGGGAGCATTTGTCTGGAATATTTGATTTATTCCAACATCAAGCCAAAATATTTTGATATTTCCTGTTAATATATGTATTTACTAATATTTAAATCTATAGATTAATTTTAACTGTCTCTTGTGAGGAGCAATAAGAAATTGAATATGGAAATAATTTGAGAAACTAAAATGCTACAGAAATGATTATGATTTCTCTGGGGACTGAGAAACCATCATTTCATTCCCTTGCCACCATCCATTATGTGGCACTTACTACTCCAGCAGCCCTGTCCTGACCACCAAGAACGGAGCCATGGATAATCGGATTCCCTTTTCTGAGAGAACCTTGTTCTGGCATGGAACAGACATCGCTCCTTCTTTTCTTTCCAGACCCTTTCACCCCAGAGAATGTGCGACTAGTAGACGGGCCGGGGCACTGCCGGGGTCGAGTGGAGGTGCTACACCAGGCGCAGTGGAGCAGTGTGTGCAAAGCAGGCTGGAACCTACGGGCCTCGAAGGTGGCATGCAGGCAGCTGGGGTGTGGGCGGGCACTACTGACCCATAGATGCTGCAACAAGATGGCTCAGGGCAAAGGACCCATCTGGAAGGGCCAGATGTCATGTTCTGGACACGAAGCAAACCTTCGGGACTGCCCCTTTAAACCTTTGGAGAACAACTGTACCCACAGCGAGGACACATGGATGGAATGTGAAGGTAATGGAAGATAGTATCCTGCAGCCAGAGACGAGGTCTATGCATATAAGTGGAAACCCAGACAAACAATATTTACAAAACTACCCGTGCACTAAAAGGCCATTGTAAATTTACATGTTTGTGTAGATTGCCAATTCCCTTAAGAATTACTCCCTTTGTAGAGGGAAACAAAAATTGTGCATTGCACAATCATACTATGAACTATGATTCAAAATGCTGTAAATAGGGTATGTCTGCTGAGCTCTTTGGTTCATAATAACCACTAGAAATACCTTTATACATATTATGTACTTATAAGTGATGTATATTAATGAATACAGTACATATATATATTTTAAAAAATAAAGTGAAAACATTCAAGTTAGGGAAACAGACCTGGCCATGGGAGTTAGAAATGGACGGAGACTTAGGAAAGGAGAGGCTGTCACCAAAAAACACATAAAGAGTTTCAAACTTACTGGTAGGGTTTTGGTAACCTTGCACATAATCTTATTTTTTTCTCTTTTCCTTTCATCTCTTATGTTATCACCTCCCTCCTTCAACCTGCAGATCCCTTCGAGCTGAGGCTGGTAGGAGGAGACAACCCCTGCTCTGGGAGGTTGGAGGTGCTACACATGGGTACATGGGGCTCTGTCTGTGACGATGGCTGGGGAGAAAAGGAAGACCAAGTGGTGTGCAAGCAGCTGAGCTGTGGGAAGCCCCTCTTTCCATCCTTCAAAGCCAGGAAAAGCTATGGACCTGGGGCTGGCCGCATCTGGCTGGATGATGTTGTATGCTCGGGGGAGGAGCAGTCCCTGGAGTCCTGCCGGCACAGGCTGTGGGGGTACCACGACTGTACCCACAAGGAAGATGTGGCAGTGATCTGCTCAGGTAAGTCCTACTGACCTACTGCACTTCCAAGGAACGAAGGAGGAAGAAAGGCAGTTGCCTCTAGTGGTCAGGATAATTCCACCAGGGCTGCAGAGTATGTGTGCGGTAGTTTGCGCACATCCTATCAGTAGTTTTGTTTTTCTTTGGAGTGGGAGAGAGCTTGGTGATGGACAAGGATATATATTTTTAAATACAATTATTGAACATAAGAATAAGAGGAACTGGTCAATGTCTTTATTCTAAACATGAAAAAAATAAGTCAAAGAAAACAGTTTTCCAAACCATAAAACGGCTTCTAAATCATACAGCAGAACTAAATGAGTTAGTCTTTCCTTTCGATCCTAGGCTAGTTCTCTGAGGTGACCCCAATCTTCAAGCCCTAAATTTGAGCTAACAGCAGAAGGCAGCTTGACCTGACTCTGTTAACCTTCCTAAACCTTATTTCTAGTGTGTATGTAAGACAGCTGGGTGGCTGGCAGGGAGCTCTTTTGAGAATGTCTGTGTCTTGCCAAAGACTACAGGATCCCAGCCCTGAATCCTTGGCCTTCCCGAAGGAGCCATGGAGAGGAAGTTCAAGTATAACCCCTGACTCTAGCTGAAGGGCTACAGCCCAGCTATGGGATTAGGTTGGGGATGTGGCTGTGTGGATCTCTTTGAAGTAACTAACTCTAAAGTGAGATGATAACTGATTTTAACCAAAAAAAAAAATGTGGGGGAATAGTTAATGCCCAGAAAACATTGAACTATGTGCTCTCCGAAAAGTTGTTTCCCTCTGAAATACAGACAAAAAGACTGTTGTCCCATTTATCTCAAAGATTTTTGTGAGTGTATAAGAATAAGACATGAATACAGTCAGCCATCTTTTCCCCTGAATCCTGTATCTATGGATTCAGAAGTATCTGAAAAACAAGCTACACCTGTAATGAACACGCAGACTTGCCTTAACGCTATCCCCTTAATAACGCTGTACAACAGCTATTTACACATTAGTTGTATCTCATTCAGTGTTATAAGTAATCTAGAAATGATTTAAAGCACATAGAAGGATTGCTTAGGTTACATGAAAATTTCTGTATACTTTATGGGAGACTTTTGCACTTGTAGATTTTGGCATCCTTGGGGAGCCTGTACCAATTGTCTGTCGATGCAGAAAAAGGCCAATACTGTTTATGACTCATAGGGGACATAACCGTTGTACCTTTGGAGTACAGCTCCAGTTTTTGACCTCTCTCCTATCATTGTGGGCTACGCATGTGGATTAACTCTTTCCTGTTCTGGCCCTTGATCTGCTTTCTAGCCAGTTTAGCTTGAGGGTAATGAACCTTTCCAGACTGAATTTCACCCTCACTGCATTTTCCTCTTTACAGAAAGTACCCCGGACTTTGATGTGTGACCTGGATCCTTGCCTGACCTGGATCCCTGCTGCTTGTTCAGTTGGGCCCTGATTCTCCAAGTGGTTATAACTGGCCATGGATGTTAGTCACTTCTCTCTCTGAGCCTCCTAAGAGTCTGAACAATGTGCTCATATCTTGATCTCAGGGGTACACTTCCCCATAATCACCTCAAGATATGAATCGCGTTGTGCTCCCTTGCTGAAGAAGCGTTTCCAGTTGCCCTATGCCTTACTTTCTTTTCCCAGCCTACCTGGCATAGCCTGTCTGTAAACAACATTGAGAATATGACAACAAAGGGAGAACTTGAAAGAGAATGTGGGTAGACAGTATTTTAGAGGTGGGGAGAAAATAGCCTTTTTGAATGCTTTTTAAATTTTATAACAAGTGAAGTGATCATAACAATAACACTTCACTACTCTGCCATCTCTCAGAGAAAGTAGCAGCATGGTTTCCTGTAGCCCTCAAATGTTACTCGTTGAGTTCTAGATGTCTACCTAAACCCATATGTTTGAAGTTTGGTGTCTGATGCAACAGTATTCTGAGGGCTCTAACTGCACCATGTGATCTGATCCTTCAGCCCTTGTGAGTGGATTAATCACTGGTGAATCCACTGGGAGGTGGTAGAAACTTCAGGAGTTGGATCTAGTTAGAGGAAGACGGTCGCTTGGGTGTGCCTTTGGAAGGGGATATTGTCTTCACAGCTTGATCCCCTTTCCCTGTTTGAGGGTTGACTCTATATCTTAGCTATTGTGAATTATGCTGCAATAAACATGAATATGCAGGTATTTCTTGATATGCTAATTTTATTTTCTTGGATTTATGCCTAAAAGTCAGTTGCATTTTTATATATACATGGCCATCTCATACCCATGGAGATATCTTCACAAACTCTTTGAGCAGTGCAGTCCTGCCCTCCTAGGTCCTGTTGGTGGCTCCAGCTGTTGTGAGGGCTAATTAGCACTTCCCAGGGGTTGGAAATTGTGACACAAAGTAGATTGGCTTCTCTAGGTAAGTGGATTTCTAACAAGTTATTCTGTACCTGGGAATGGACATTTCTTACAAATGATAGAGACCAGAAAATCAGAAGAAACCCTTCTGTGGAGACACACAGGTAACTGCAAAACACATGCATGGACAGAAACACACATGAGGCCAGAACGTGGGATCCAGTGGCATTCCTGACTTTATGTAAACAAACTGCTGTATAATCAAAGTAATTTTAAAAACTGAGTTGTCTGGTATTGGTTTTAGTACTTCTAATCAAGAACCCCAAGTGGTTTACTCATTTCAGATTAATGAAGTGATGCTCCTCCCACATTTGCCGAGGTTGACCAGATAACCCAGTTGTTAACAAGGCAGATATTGCATTACATTTACACAACCAAATTTGTGGATATGATAGCATGAGGACAAGGGCCTGTAACAGGAGTACCACTCCGAGGTGTTGATCACGAGTGCCCTGGTTGGCCTGCTGAATGTGTCTTAATTAGGGTTTCTACTGATGTGATAAGACACCATGACAAAAGAAACTTGGAGAGGAAAGGATTTACTTCATCTTGCATATTCTCGTCCATCATCCATGGAGGGCAGGGCAGAAACTCAAGGCAGGCACCTGGAGGCAGGAACTGCTGCAGAGGTCATGGAGGGGTGCTGCTCACTGGCTTGCTCCTCGGGGCTTGCTCAGCCTGCTTTCTTAGACATCCAAGGGCCTCCTATCCTGGGGTAGCACTACCTGCTTTGAGATAATTAAGAAAACGCCAAACAGGCTTGCTCATAGGCCGGTCTTATGGATGCATTTTCACAATTGTTGTTTTCTCAGATAATGCCATCTTGTGTCAAACGTTCAAAAATAGCTTATCAAAGAGCTCATCCCTGAAGAAAAATGATTCCTCCTTGCTCCACAGCAGCTTATGCCCTGTACCTCTTGATGTACCATGCAGATCCCTTTCTTAGTGTCACACTGGCCGAGTTCTTTAGAGTATAAATCTTAGCCATACTTACTTAGGTTTTATTATAGTGCTGCCTTTATTCATTACTCTTGACATCTACATCCCACAACAGAGACGTGTTTGCTAGCTTCCTCTTCCCTAATATCTTGTTAATGGAAACATGGACTTAGTCACCTACACAGGCTGCCTCTGATGTGTTTGTTTTGTTTTTTATGGTAAGATAAACTTCTGGTTTGAATAGGAGTAGTCAGGAAGATTCAGGCTGTTCATCTGTGACTTGTCTCATGGAAAGAGATTCCACAAGTTACTAACTTTATGGGGCGAGACTCAAGCCCAGACAAGGATGGGTCAGTGGTCGGAGGGACCACACCTTGACCAGGACTGCTTAGATGAGCACTTCCCTGGCCCTCTATTTGAACTTCAATCTCATTTTGAGGCCCTAAAGATGAACTAGGGAGGTCACTGTATCTCTTGTCCCTCCTAATATGGCTACACTGAATAAATACCCTCTTTCTGTTTTTTAGCATCTATTTGGCTGTATTAAGTGACTTATTGAGGGTGAATGGCTGCAGAAGACTAGTATTTTCTAAGCAAGAATGGGTCAAAGCAAGGCCCTGTCCCCAGGCCCCTGAAAGAAAATGGAATAGGGACTCTGACTGAACCTGCCTCATAGGCCTGTAGCAGAAGGAAAGAGCTCCAGTCTCAAAGGAATAAAGGCATGGTTTATTCTGGAGTGAATATAAGTGATCATGGCCCAAGAGCATATATTCAGGTTCCCCCCAAAAAAAAGACATGTCCCAAAGAAGTATCAATTTCATTAACTTTTTATAGTAACAGAACAAAGAAAGCCATAAAACATACTTTTTGGGTACATCGGTACATGTTCAACCATGTAGGTACATGAACTGGGTGGATTATCGCAGAGCAGGGAGGCCTGACAGAATTATTAGGCATTTGGGTGATGGAAACTAGGGGTCTGTCTATTCATACATACCCAAAGGGTTTACCTAATGGTGACAAAAGAGGTTAGTTCATGGATAGAGGAGAACAATGGGTGCTTATTAATGGAGACTAAGATGCTCCGAGAGAATTTGGCCCTGTACTTGGCAACATTCCAACCTCTCTGTATCACTGAAGTCATAGTCAGTCTATCAGCCTTTGCAGACACAGCTTCTTTCCAGAATTTTCCATTCACAGGCTACAGACTGTCACCCCTGGGTGTACACTGTGACTCCATGTTTAGTAACACAACACACACACACACACACACACACACACACACACACACACACCAATTCTACAACCATTACTATGTCAGTTTGCCTTTGTCAAAAATCATTACACTGTATACTTAGGATCAATTCATTCTAGTTCATGCTAATTGTACTTCAATGAACAGATTTTTAAATGTCTGTAAATCTACGGGACAGTGTGAATTGTAATCAGAAGAAATTGAAGGACACTGGAGCAGGACACACAAGAAAAGAGATATGAAACAATGTTGCAAAAGCCCCTCACTCTGGGACTTCCGGCTCTGCATTTCAAGGGCTGGTAGCTTTTGTGTTGGGCCTTCAAGTTTAAATTTGGCAGACATCTTCACATGGGTTTCCCCAGGCATAATCACAGCTGCCAGCACAAGCGTCTGGTGTTTAGCGACTTCCCCGGACATTTAGCCGGGTTGCCAATGCATGTCTCTTTCCCCTAGAGTTGAGCATATCCACCTCCTCTCGCTTTTTCCCCAACCCTTCTCCTTAGACACAGTTGATCCCCAGGCTTAGGTGGACTTCTCAATCCTCCCTAACAACTCAGCCTTCGTGGATTGCCTGGCTATCCTTAATCTTAGATGATTAAAGATTCAAGGAATGTTGAAAGATAAAATAGTTTATTCTCCTTTAATCCATAATGTGAATCACATACAAACTTCAGGCAACAAAAAGTGGGGAGACAAATGCTAAAGAAAGCAATGGGAGGAATTTCACATGCCCTGACTGGGGTAAGGAGAGGAGCGGTGTCACAGAAATACCAGAGTTGGTGACAATGGTGAACCTCTTCCACTACAGAGACTAACTGGTGCGGACCCACACCCTGTATTTTACTTCAAACATCTCCCAGTTTATAATTTCCTATGACTTTTCAAAAAGTGCTTCATGTTCATTTACTGGGACACTGAAAATTTAAAAAATGGCAGTGATAGCTATATATATATATCAGCACAAGCAACAACTGCAACACTGATCATAACTTGGGAATAATTCCATCCGTCCCTGAGTCAGACACAGCTGAGAGTGAGACCAGAGGAAAGAAGGCTGTATTTGACCAGACACTTAAGCAGACACCCTTAACCAAAGATGAGGATGTGTTGTGGGAAACTCAGCAGGACTAAAGCTCAGTGAGACTCAAAACCAGAACCATCTGCCGGGGCCCCCAACATACACAAGTTCTTAAAGAAAGGAAAGCCCTTGTCTCCCAATGCACAAAATCTCCAAATCACAAAGCTGAACCAAACCATACGAAGGAGCACCTTTATTTTTTCAGCTTCATGAAAGAGGAACTGAGATGAATTGATGGAGAACTTTCCTCTCTACTTTTATTTCTGTAAACTCGTGCTGAAGGTTAACTTCCGATACTGACTTCCTCAACCCTCAGAGATGTTGTCACCTGTTGCCTCCCGTGTGAGTAGCTTAGTTTTGCTTTCTTTTTTTCTTTTGGTGAGAGGCATCTGCAAGTTACCGTCCCCAGCCTGGCCCTCATGCTACCTTGGCTCCTGCTGTGGATCTGTGGTGAGTTGGACAACTGAGAACGGGATCTGGGATGGGGATCTCAGTTCTTGAAAAGGTGTCAAGAATTATGGGACTAGGTTGCTGCCTGGGGATGCTCGTGTTGTCACTGTATCTCTGTCTCTGTCTCTCTCGCTCGTACACAGATATACACGTGAGCACCTGCACACACACACACACACACACACACACACACACACACACACACACACACCAAATTCATCTCTCAGTTCCGTTTCTTCTATCAACATTATTTCTTTTAGTATTTCTCACCACCCCTCCTCATTCCATTGTGCTCACAGTTCACTTTCTCTGGTTTGTACATCTGAAAGGCAAGCTTATTTTCCCATCATTGATAGGCCTCCCGCCACAGTGCTCAGATGCTGCAGTTCATCAACACCCCTTAGGGTGCTCTTGCATCTCTTTCAGATGGCACATTCCCATGTGCTTTAACTGTGTCCAAACAGGAGAGTGGTACATTAAACAAAGGCTTGCCTGACTACAGCCATGTAATGTGGGAACCAAATCACAGATGATCTTCAGATCTGCTGGAGAACTCATACCCACATCTACAGCCCTGTTTTTCCACTCATGGGGACCATTATCCCATATCTTCTCATTTCTTCTCAAATGTAATCCTTTTTGGTCCCATTTTATAACTTAATTAATACTTTATTCAAAAAGTAAAAACAGCAGGAAGAAAAGTCTCCATACTTCTACTGCCATGCCTACCAGCTGCCTATCTTGTCTCAAAGATGGAAGTCTCTGCTTACTCAATACCTTCCTCCTGCCTTAAATTTTTCCCTCCACTCCAGCTTATTCCTGTCAGTGCAAGAGCTTGCTTGGACATCTATTTTTTTTTTCCATTCACGCATCATCTCTTTCTCCCTTCACTCTGCTCTTGGTGACTGTCTCACTTTGATTCACTTCCCTGACTCTTTATTTTTTTAAACTTCATTTTTAGTGAGACTGGCCTTTCTGAAGCTCTTGACATTCTTTTCCCCAGGTGTTTAGAGTCGTGTTGCCTGAAGCACAACCAAAACAGAGAACATCACTATCTCATCAAAGATCCCTTCACACTCTCAATCTTGTCCCGTGAGCTCCTCTCTTGTTCTTGACCCAGGCAACTGTTCTGTCCTTCCGGATCTCTTTTTGTGAACTCACTTTAAGCAACCCTTTGTCCCCATCACTCCTTGGACATTGTTCTCGCTAATGTCATCCACACTTCCACATCACCCCAGCCAGAGGTCACTTCCATTTCCCACTTCCTTAGCCTTTCAGGGTCAGGCACAGTCGATCACCCCTCATGCAGGACACTTTCAGCTTGGTTTCCAGAATGCTCTGTTCTTCTGTTTTCTTTCTGCTTCTGTCTTGTAAGAGGAAGAGAGAATATCTGTGTCTCTATTATCTAGTGACAAAACCTGCATTTTCCCCAGAATTTCTCCTCCTTGACAATGATATCATCAAAAGGAGAGAATATTTGAAGAATTCTAATTCTTCTTTCTCTGAACTCAAAAGTTCTCTGATGGGAAGTTGGTAGCTCATGGGGCCCCATGCCTTGAGATGAAGACCTTTATTCCTCTTATTTGACTTTTGTTACACCTGGCAGTAGGGCCAGAGATGAAACTTGAAATTTTTAAGAGGAGGAGGGAATAGAGAATAAGAGCAGAGGAACAAAGGGACAGGCAGTTAAGAGCGAGGCTATCGTTGCGCCATCACAGAGACAAAGGTTACTGAAAATTACCTTATAATCATAGAAAGGACCATGTGTCTTTTCTGGATGATATAGAACATGGGGAAAGAAATAGAGAATGAAGAAAGGAATTTGGGGCAGAGGAGGTGGGAAGGATGGCAGAAGAAGAGGAGGAAGAGGAAGTTGTGGGGAAGGCACTGGAGAAGGAGAGGGTACTGTAGGGATAGCCCTTTGTAGAAGGTCAACTGTGTGTCTGTGGAACTCGCTGCTCTCATGGTTTCTTTTCCAGCTCCACTTTGTGAACCTACTGGTGAGTTGTTCTTCGAAGTCTAGGGAGTACCTTGTCACCTCAATCAGCACACCAGGCCTGTGGATGACTGAACAGCCATGCCTCTGCAGGACACAAACTTCAGGGACTTCTGGGAGCAGGCTGTGACCTGTGTCCATCCAGCTGGGTGAACTGGTCTGGAGCCACCTCAGCACAAGTAGGGAAATACAGTCACTCACACAGCGGTGGCAGAAAGTGTCAGAGATTTACTTAGAAGGAGTCTGTTCTAAAGAGGCCCCGGGTACCCTCTGTGTTCTTCAGCTGGGGGATGCACTCCCAGTGGCTGAGAAGATGAAGTCACAGAGCCACAGCACAGCTCTATAGTTAGTTCCCCAGCCACAGGCAGACTCCAACAACACTGCTGCCTCCTGCCATTTGTAGCTCTGCATTCTCTCTCTCTCTCTCTCTCTCTCTCTCTCTCTCTCTCTGTGTGTGTGTGTGTGTGTGTGTGTGTGTAGCATATGCAAATTTAATTGATTTTCTTACCAGAAGCAATTTTCTCCGTGAAGCTTATGCAAATCTACTGGGTCATAACTGATCTCCTGCACACAAACTATGAGCCACAAGGTTAAAAAAAGATTGCCTAGCGCACCCAGCAATGCAGGATCAGAGGTTCCCCCATCTGGGTTTCTGGGTCCCTCACTGGTATCCAAGTTTAACTCGTGTGCTAATGCTATGTGTGCTGTGTGCTTGGTTTTCCCTTTTCCTCTAAGCCCAGGCACTCAGTCACAGCCTACAGAGAAATACAAACCCACATCAAGGATGAGGAAATAGTTGGTTTATATGTTTCTAAGGAAATCTTTGATGCTTGAGAATTATCTGAAACAAGCTATGAACTACAAAGAAAAACCCCAAACTCCGCAGTGAGGTGTGTCTGGTTTCTTGCTCCTTGTCATGCTGGGCCTGGCAGGAGAGAGGCCTGTAGGTGCCTAATGCCTTTGTTTCTCAGCTCAGTTTCAAATGCTGTGAAGTTTATCTGAGGACCGAGATGTCCACAAGGAGAAGGTGCAGGGTATTCCATACTCAGGGCAGATGCTAGCTGTAGCTAACTGATACCTAAAAGGATCCTGCAAAAAGCCTTCGTGAAAGAAGGTTTGAGGTCATGGACACTGAACTAGGCATCACCGGGGACCCACAGGACTTGGTATTTTTCATCTGGTGAAGAGAGGAATAGTTTCTCTTGGGAAAACTATTAAAGTCTCCCAAATTGAGAGACTCTAAGAGTTAAACAAATGCCCAAAGATGCCATGGCATTTCATGGGCTGGTGGGACAGCGAGGAAGATAAGGGGAGATTGCAGCTTCAATCATCTTTACATAACTCAGAAATTAGTTCCTAAGACTCCAAAGCATGTATCCCTAAGACTTAAGGCATGGATTAAATTTTCATCTCATCTCATGGATTCTGCAGAGGTTTGTATAGCAGTTCTGAACCGAGGGATCTGGCTGTGAGGACGATAGGTTCAGGGAAATTCCAGGCAAGTGTCCTCCCTTTTCTCCATCAGGAACTGCAGCATGAGAGTCAGAGAAGAGTCAACAGAGAACTGACGCCCCTTCTTGTTTCCATGGTGTTGCTTTCATAACAACTGATTCCCCTGTTGTGTGTGTCTTTGAAAGTAATGTCATAGGTTAGGAAAAGGGGAACCTTTTTTTCTTATCAATATGATTTACAGCAAAGGTAAAAGAAATGAGCTGAGTTTTAGTTCAATGGTAGAACACTTGCCCAGCATATGTAACACTCTGCTGCCTTGATTCCAGTACCACCAAAAGAAGGAGGAGGAGGAGGAGGAGGAGTTGTTCTTGAACAACAACAAAAACAGGGGAAAGATAGAAGGAAAGAAAGAAGGGAGGGAGGAGGGGAGGAAAAAGAGAAAGCAGAGAGACAGAGTTTACTAGACCATCAAGCTTCACCATATCCAGTGACAGTCTTCAATATACTTGCTCTGATATAATTCTTAAAATTATGCCAGAAACAAACATACAAAAAAAGATAATGAGATCTAAGCCACAGTAAAGATTGCCTTCTAGAAGCTGGTGCCATCGCACAGGGTTACGGTGTACCAGAAGGAGCAGCCACAAGAGAAACTCGTGGCTATGAGGGAGGTGGTAGGGGATGTTGTATGTTCTTGAGGCTGAGAACACAAAAGATGCCTAATCAGGAACACTGCCCTGGAGTTTGTGTTTATGTCTTTTCTCTAGAGCTGTTCTCACGCCCTGTGCTAGAAGTCAGTCCTTCTCATCCTGTAGAGGGGCATTCCGTGACCCTGACCTGCAAGACCCAGGTCATCACACAGAGCCCACCTATTGAGCCCCGGTTCTGCTTCAAGGATATCAAGGTCCTTGGGTCAGGTTGCAGCAGCTCCCCAAAGCTTCAGATCCGCCCCATATGGAGGAAAGACCCAGAGCCTTACTGGTGCTCAGTAGAAGTGACAACTCCCAGTATCAAAAAGTGGAGCCAGGCAACCTACATACATGTGCAGAGTGAGTATCTAAGCTTGCTCTTCCAGTGTCAGGGGCTGGTTAGACAAGAGCAGGACAGGATGTCTCCCATGCTCCTTCCTGAGAAGGTAGATACTGGGAGGAACTACCAGCTGCCCTGGTGAAGTAACAAGAAAAGGCTTTATGGGGGGAAGTGTGTCAAGTAGGTTATTGGAGAAGAGTTTACGGGAGACTCTACAACAGAACTCCGATGCTTTAGCATCCTGTACCATGTGACTCGATGTCAGGGTCGATCATCAAAAGCAAATGTCTAGTACCTACAAAGGGTTGAATAGTCTCAAACTTGGTAAAGCAAAATCTACCCCAAACTGTAAAAACTTCGAACAGCTCACACATAGCAGATCCTACTCTAGTGCTTCATACATGTGGTGTAACTGACCTCTAGTGCTGCAGGAGGCGATGATAGTCACACATTTACAAATGGAAATTGGGTCTAAGAGAAATGAAGTCATTTGATCAAACACACACAGCAAGGAAGAGTGAAAGAGTATTCATAGCCCAGCAGTTTGATTTATAACTTGGGCTTGAAATCACTATAAGGTAGTAGAAATTATGTTATCCTGGGGTGGGAGATGACATCACATACTCTGCAGTAGTGGTAGTGTGCTTTTCCTGCTCTGTGACTATCAGCCAAATCTAAGACGATTCCAAGTCAGCAGAACTCCAGCCCCAATGTAAGCTATTAAAATTGCCAACTTAGCCAGCAGCCTCTCAGAGTCCCCACACATACTCCTCTCTGAAATTCTTTCTACTAAGAGTCCTCTTCATTATCTTGTGTTCCCTCAGGAATCCCTGTCTCTGATGTGAGCTTGGAGACACGGCCCCCAGGGGGATGGGTGACAGAGGGAAACACACTGGTCCTCATTTGTTCTGTTGCTAATGCTACTGGAAACATAACATACCTCTGGTACAGAGGTACCCTGGGTTCAAATCTGGAAACAAAGATACAGCATTCACTGACGGCGGAGTTTGAGATCATCAAAATGAAGGAAAGTGACGCTGGGCAATACTACTGTGCAGCTGACAATGGCTACGGTCCTATTCTCAGTGATCTGGTGAGCGTCACTGTCATAGGTAAGTGACACAGCTACCGAGTCTCACTCAGTCAGCATGTCCCACACGAAGCTCCATACTGCCCCGAGCTGCCTTTAGCGGCTTCAGTGGGGTTGAGCCTCTAGAGAACAGGCAGAAATTACGGGTCTGTTGTACCATCAAGGCACCTTTCTCTAATTGTTCACTGTTGATCAGTTCCAGTGTCTCGCCCTGTCCTTACGTTTGGGGACTCTGGAACCCAGTCTGTGATGGGGGACCTGCTGGAGCTTCACTGTGAGGCCCTGAGAGGGTCTCCTCCAATCTTCTACCAGTTTTACCATGAGAATGTCATTCTGGGGAACAGCTCAGCCCCCTCTGGAGGAGGAGCGTCCTTCAGGTTGCCCCTGACTGCAGAACTTTCTGGAAACTACTCCTGTGAAGCCAACAATGGCCAGGGTGCCCACCGCAGTGAGGTGGTGACTCTCAACCTAACAGGTATTGGTCATACTTTGGAACTCTCAAGGTCACTCTCTCTTCCCTAGCATCTTAGGAGAACATCGGTTTTTCCTATGGTGTATGTCAAGGGCTTCTGTATGTGATGCTGTCATGGGTGATATACATGAGAGGTGTGGAGAACGGAGTTCGAGTGCCTATCTTCTTCCATCAGTGTGAGAAGCAAGGGTTCTCTAGATAAGAAGGACACCCTCCCCCATCAGGAGCAGCCTTTGAACATAATCCACACACAAGATGTCTGTTTCCAAACTCAGCCCCTTCCTTACCGGAGTCTCTCTTCAGTGCCCATTGAGTCTGGAAACAGTCGTCTTACCTCAGGAGTCACTGAGTGGCTACTTGGCTGTCTTGGCCCCCTCACCATGGCGCTAATATCTTGCTACTGGATCAAGAGAAAAAGAGGTTAGTAACTTAATATATTCATATTGTGCCACTATCACCTTTTTTTCCTGAAACAGATCGCATCTGTGGCATGCATCCTGCAGACTAAGAACATGCCCTAGCTACCTTGCCAGTGTGTCTTCTCATAAACTTTCAAAGCCTGCTAAATAAAGCACCATTTTTAGCAAACTTCTTTAGTTTCACCAGCTGATATCTTGTTCTTCTGTGATTTAATTTTTATATAAAATGTAACTATTTTTTAAACTAGAGAAGAAGCAGGCTGGGTCTCTTAGCTGGTTAAAGCACCTGTCTAGTAAACTAGAGAAGAGGACGCTAAACTACTCACACTGGCTAGCTCCTGTTCCCAGTCAGTGCAGCCCTCTTACCAAGGGCATTGTCACATGCATTTCCTTCTCCCTGAAATACAATTCGCATCCCTCTGGGTTCTGATCGTTCCCAGATCTTTTCTACCTTGTGGATAAATTGTTTTTCTTCTGAAAGTCTCACCTGGTAACATAGCCAGCCATTGCCCTCCATTTTGGCTTTTAGGTTATTTACCTCCTTCTGAGTTTACCACAACCCATAGTTTCACGGGTGTTTATGTTTCACTGTGGGCTCCTAAGTCTCCACTGGGCAAGTTGAAGATGAAATTCAAATCTCACTTGAATTTCAAGCTTTTCCAACATCTTTAGACACCTCCCAGCTATAACCTGGCCATGGCAGAGCCTGGCTCTGGGACTCTGGGCAGGATAAGATTCATCAGGGTGGTTGCAAAATTCAAAGCAAAAGATGTAACAGACAGGAAGTCCCAAATCCTGTTTCTTGGTACTTACTGGCTTTGGGAAGTTGTCGGCTTCCAACTTTGGGATGTTGACTTAATGCTTCTGGACCTGAATAGCCTTAGTTGTGATATAAAGACTCTATAAGTGTCTACCAGAGGTCCATTGGGGACATAGTGGCATCCCAACTGAGCACAGCCAAGGCAGGCGGGTAGTGAAAGTAGGGTTCCACTGATACATGCTCTCATTTTTCTGCCTTGCAGGAAGACAATCAGATGATCCACTCAGGTGAGGGCCCTGCTTTCTCTATGTGCTGATGATGCCAAAAACTTACTTTTAAAAAGTTATTTTTTTATTTTGTTAAGATATTATAATTACATCATTTCCCCCTTCCCTTTCCTCCCTCCAAATACTCCCAAATGCCCCTCCCTGCTCTTTTTCAAATTCATGGCATCCTTTTCCTTTTGATTGTTGTTATATAGACATATGTACAAGTATATATACATATATGTATATATGTATACACACGTGTGGTGTGTGTGTGTGTGTGTGTGTGTTTCCAACCCTAAATACAACCTGCTCGGTCTGTATATTGACTGTATGCTTGTTTCCAGGGCCAACCATTTGGTATTGGATAACCGATTGGTACGCTGTTCCCAAGGGAAGAGCATATCTCCTGTCTGCAGCATCCTTCTATTGCCTGTAGTTCTTTGTGTATAGTCTTTCCCTGTCTAGTTTAATGTGTCTATTTTTGTTGTCTTTGTTGAGACAGTCATGTTGGTGAGACTTTATGGATGTAGCCTCTGACATTACTGGGAGACACACTCTCACAAGAAGCTTTCTGACCCTCTGGGTCTTACACTCTTCTCCACACCCTCTTCTATATTGTTCCTCAAGCCTTTGGTGCAGGAGTGTTTTGTAGATGTATCCACTGGGAATAGACTTCACAACTCTGCATGTTGACTAGTTGTGGTTTTCTATAATGGACTCAGTCTGTTGCAGAGAGAAGATTCTTTGTTGAGGGATGAATTTATCTATGAGTATAAGGACAAATATGTACAATGCAGTTAGGAATTATGCTGGTTTAGTAAAGTGGTGGTCGTGTGTTTTCCTCTAAGACTGATGACTTCACTAACCCTGAATACTACTATCCACTACTGAACCCTTAGGGTTATCATGCCACACTGGTTGTTGTGGTTCATAGGTGTCATCGCTGGGTAAGACTGTTGGTTGTTTCCCTCCTCAAGAAACTCGCATGGCACCTTCTGGTACCATGAAAACTTATAACTAGGATGTCCTCTTTCCTGAGATGCTTCCCTGTTTCTCTGCTCCTAAAACTCACTCCCGAGTTCCCCCATTGGCAACTTTGAACATTAATTTGCTATTTCTCTTTCATTAATTTTTTCTCCATTTTTTCTCTATTTCTCCATTTCTCCATTTTTTTCTCTATTGCTTCCTTCCAGTGCCTCTGCAGTTATCATCTCTTGATTTCTCTTGGTCTCACCACCAGTTTATCCATGTAGTCAGCTTGCTTACAGCAGAGGAAAAAGACCCTGTGACTCTATAAGTACTGTAGGACAGGTGAGACGTATATACTACAAGTCTCAGAAATGCAAGACAGAGAGTAAGAGACACCCTGGAAATATTGTTGGTGAGGCTTGTTAGAGGCTTAGAGGGGGGAAAGATTTCTAAAATGCTTGCGGGTTCCAAACTTGGCCTGTGTGTTTCCCACACCAATGATGACCATTCATTACACATCCCAGCGGTGTAGCATGTCCATGGCCATTTTCTTCTGTTCCTTTCTCCATGTTGCTTATTCTGGCCAACTGTCTATTTTTACTGAGATGAATCACTACTTCTTTACTTAGTACCATGCTCTGTTCCAAAGGACTAGCAGTTAGACTCCCTGGTAAGCAGACAGACAAATACAGACAAATACAGGGACCATGACTCAGTAATAAAGAATGAACTTCCAAGACACTGGCTTCTTCCCCCACTCTCCTGACCTGAGGACAAAAGCCTGGCAGCTTAAAACAAAGGCCTTATGGGATTTGTCTCCTGCCAATAGGGCCCTGCTGATAGACTGGCTCAAGTTCATGGTGCTATCAGGACACACTTACGCAACAGTTGTAGGCCAATCAGACATCCAGTCTTCTTCACCAGAGCAACCCCAGATGAAGGGAAGATGATCCTTCAATGACTTAAAAACAAACAAACAAAAAACAACCCTGAAGGAGAAGTCGGACTTAACCTTTTCGAGTCTCCCCTCTGCTTTGCTGAGGGCTTTTCTCTGTGAGCCTGCTGGATGTGTGTGCTTTCTCACCCCTAGCAAAAAGCCTTTCTTCAACTGTTGATTCTGTCTTCCACTATCTGCGGTGTTCACAATTTCTCTGCTTTTTCCTGCCTTTGAATTCTTTAACTGACAGAGACAATGGACCTGATCAAGATCCCTAGATGGCAACAGTGACATGTGTGGGTGAAATCATAGAGAACCTGTGCCCTGGAACATACGCTCTGGGGCAGTGCCACAGAGCCCCATCCTGCCCACCAAAAAGGCTTCAGCTTATACCACACAGCTGTACCTCCCAGGGGTTAATCTTTCCATGAATTAGTGTCCTGTACAGGACCCTTTCCTTCACATTTTACAATCTCTGACAGTCACACCCGGAGCATCTGGGATGGTGTGTGTTTTGTGCTTGCAGGAGCCCTCCTAGGCCTGTGCTCCAAGAATCCAACTACATCAACTCACCTGACCCAAGGCAGTTACAGTCCGTGTATGAGAACGGTAAGGCTTCCCAATGATCCGAGTCAACAAGCTGGAAAGGGAGGCTGTAGAGGGTGTTGTCTGCTTGCCAAAGTCAATTCTGCTGCAGCCTAGTCCCTCCACAAACAGGATTCGCCTGTCTTTGAGTTTGTGGTAGGAGATGGGTGTGGAGTAAGTGAAGGGGAGGGAAGAAAGGGTTGCTTCAATATGTCTCCTTTCTTGTTTCAGTGAATGTTGTAAGTGGTGATGAAATTTACTCACTCGTGTACCATACCCAGCAGGAGGTGGAACCAGCAGCCAGTAAGAAATGGAATGGGATGAATTTTTCTCTGACTTTTATCTGTCCCAGAACCAAGAGGATAGTCAATGCCTCTGTTTGGCAATATGGCAGACTTTGTTCTTAGAGTTGACTGTAGGTTATCACTATGGTTACTTTGTTCTGGAAGCTGTGTCAAGTAGAGCCCAGTGATGTTGTTAGGCTGGCCTAGTGAATGTTTCACACAGCCTGGTTTCAATGGCAACCCAAAGATGTCAGCTTCTGCCGAGTGGCCTACGCGGCTCTTGCAGCTGTTCACCATGGCCGCTGCTCTTATCCCATTCTATACATGGTAGGCCCAGAAAAGGAGAGAGGTATCAAAATGTCTCCAGTGCCAGGAGGGCCTATACACCCACCCACCCCAGGCTGCCCATTCTTCTGGGGACACTGAGATCATTGTTCATGCGATAGAAAGGAAGACAGGAAATGGCACTGGAGCTCAGTCTATGGAAAATAGGTCGGGGAAGAATCAAGCTATACTAATGGGAGGTTGTAAAAGACTAAATATAAGCGGACCCTCACAGTGCTTACTCATTCCCCCACAGCTCAACACATGAGAACACACGGGACAAGTGAGGTAAGCAGGGTCTTCACTGTTCTGTGTGTGCTTTCTCTGCTCCTTCTGGAGACTGTCTCAATGCTTTTCCATAGTATTTGGAGGAAGAAAAATCTTCCCACTTAGGAGGAAGAAAAAATACCACAGTTTCTTATCTACCAGCACAGTAGAGATAAAAAGCATTTAGTTATAGCAATAATCACCATATGAGGGAGTTTTGGAGGCTTACAGGTATATTTCCTTGAATAATGTGCTGGTGTGTAGTTCAGTCATGGTTTATACTTATTTACAAGGTTCTATTTATCTGAAAATCTCTATTCTAAAATACTGTTGAACTGTATGTACAGCCATCAACTAGTGCTGTGTAGCTAGCAATATGAAGTGAACTAAGTTAATACTGAATAAAACTAATGTTGCCTTTAAAATGGGCCTTGTAAAACATGCACGAGGCCATCCTAACAATAGCACTGGGATCTACTTGGCACAAACATGATTTGTATTATGAAAAATTCATAATTTATAACTCCTGAATAATTCATGATATCTGTGATGGGGGCTAGAGAGATGGCAACAGCTGAGAGCCTCACTGCTCTTACAGAGGACCAGAATTCAATTCCCAGCACCCACATTGGGCAGCTTACAACCCCCTGCCTCTCCACCTCCAGGGGACCCAATGTCTTCTTCTAATCCCCATGGGCATCTATGTTCATGCGTACACACACAGACAACACATATATGCACAATTAAAGAATTCTAAAAGCCATCCATGATGCTACAAAAGTACTTTTGAATTCCCACAAGTATCGCAGGTGCTTTGAAGTTTTATCCCGCATAGGGTGGTCTCAGGGCAGAACTCAAGTCCTCAGAAAACCTAAGAGCATGCTCAGTTTTCTTCATTCCGATATCTCTGAATGATGACTGCTCATAGTGGTGTTCAGCAGGGGCACCTCTGGAAGCTTCAGGAGTCACAGGCTCCTTTGACAATCCTGGCAGAAGGCCACAGGCTTCCAAGAGGCTTCTTTTAAGTTGGTGTGGTTGCACATGACAAAATACATCCAGGCTGATCAGGAAGAGGCACAGGGGAAGACATGTTCTTCTGTCTTCTTTTCTTTGATCCTTCCAGGTCTTCTCTGAAATCTATTCCAAGCCAAGGAAGATAAACACCGCATATATGGACTACGAAGACACTATGTAAAATTATGTGAACAGCATCTGTGAAGGGCTGGGAAAAAAACCAAAGGCCTGATGTGGTACTCAGAGGATGCTGGGGAAGGCTAGCTTGCCAGTACACCTCCCCCACATGCTTCCCTCCCTTTGTGAGATGGTTCCTTCACCTACCCAGTGTGAAGTCGGTACAAGTCCTGAAGAAAGCACACAGGAAAACCAACTTAGACCCAGAAGCTGCAAGGATTTGCTGATGGCATCTGATTGTTGCCCATTCATGTTGGGGCATGACAAATTGCATGCTAACTTTTGTTTACAAGAGGAAAATTGTATGATGAAAACAACTGAGGTCTTGGAACAAAGGGACTTAGAGTGCACCAAGTCCAACACCAGTGACATTGCAGGTCTTCGGTGGAGAGAGAGCTTTGCTTTCTCTGTACACATATCCTGTCCCCACCTAAAATACCTGACTCTGTGTACTTTAAGTCACTGTCATCAATTTAGAATTAAAGCACAGTTGCAAAAATTTTACTGTGACTCCACTTCATTTTAGTGATGTGTGTGGGGTCTATAGGCTAGTCTAGATCCTCTCATGATTATAATAGTCATTGAAAAATTCACCAAGTTCTGAGTTTTGAACTTGGGGCAGCATTTAGACTAACTAACCTTTATGAATATATAAATACAGTGATTCTTCTAGAATTGTCAAACTTTTTGAAACCATGGCCATTTGGCCTGAAGCCTGTTTTAATTTTAAATCAATTACATATTTGCATTTATATATTAAAACAATTTAAAAATAAGTAAAGTCTTTTGCTATGAGATACCACAAATGCTAACCACTGCAAAAAAAAAATGTATCCTGTATTTCTCCAGGTGGTCTCTGTTTGTACACAAACACTTACTCGTGCATATAAATACTAGATAATTAAAAGCATAGCTACTCAAGTAGCTGAAACATGCACAGGAGTGAATGTATATCTATCATGCTACTTCAAAAACTGTGGAGTGCTTTGATGTGTATTTATATCATAATAGATGTATTTTTCCTTTTACATAGTAGTAAATCTTGAAGGGACCAGCTCCCCATTTCGGCAGCCATAAGAGCCTAACACGTGCTTGTGTGACCCTGCCTTGGTCACTAGGAGGTCAGATGCCTGCCTCGTGGCAAGGAACCAATCAGAAGTTAGCTGGTGGTGCTATGCTTTACGGCTCTGGGTGTGCTTTATGGACAAGTGCACAGCAATGATGTGCAGAGCATAGAAACCGCCCTATGGGCCTATGGGCCATAACAACCAGTTGACCAATCAACACAGGGCAAGTCCTCCAAGCCTGGAAGCACATCAATCCCGGGCCTGTGCGTACCCCTAGGCACTCCCCTTCCACTGCCCTATAAGATCTCTATCCAGTAGCTTCGAGGTGTCTTCCCACCCCCCCCCCCCCCCCCCCCCCCCCCCCCCCCCCCCCCCCCGTGGGGTGGGGGGATGAAAGGCCTGAGCTAACATGGGGTTAGCTCGTTAAACAACTGCAATAATAGACTCGTTGCTTTTGCATCAAAAATGGGCCTCTTGGTGATTTAGGGATTCAGAATTTGGGCACAACAACCTATATAACCTAAAACTGGTTGTTTTACTTTTTTGATCATCTTAACTTTTTTTTTTTTTTTTAAAAAAAAAAAAAAAAAAAAAAAACCTTTTTTTTTGTTATGTGATCAAATTTGCCTTGATTTTGCGATTCTTCTGCTTCGGTCTCCCAAGTACTGGGTCTATGGGCATGTGCCACCAAAATTCTACTCGTCTTAACCATTTTAAATGTGTGGTTCAGGGACATCATGTACTCTCCCAACATTTTAATGCCTTTCACTACTGATGAATTATTATAAGTGGTCCTTCCACTAGCTTCTTGTGTTTAATTTTTGCCTTTTTCATTTTTTCTGTTTTTCAGAGATGCAGAACTTGTCTTTTCAATAAAAAAAAAAGCTGTAAGAGGTCTTATAAGAGTAAATCAGAGGACCTGAGAATTTATCTCAGAGATAGAGACTGTATCAGCATGGCCAACATCTCAGTATGATCCCCTACTTCACAAAACACAAACAAACTAAAAAACAGGGAGTCAAAATGCTTACTTATTTACAGTAATGCAGTATTTGTCAAGATCACTGTGTACAATACTACTTTTAAATGTCAGACATTTGGATGCAGGCTGAATTTTTTTAAGGTTTTGATCTGCTAGTACAGACTTCAGAGAGGCAGGAAGGTGCAGGTGACTCTGCAGTAGTTTGAATAAGAATGGTCCTCATGGGCTCATATATTTGAATGCTTAGTCACCACCAAGTGGAACTCTCCAAGAATAGAAGGGTTAGGAGATACGGCTGACCCAGTTCTCTTCCTTTCAGCCTGTGGATCAAGATATAGCTCTCAGCTACTGCTCCAATGCCATACATGCCACCATGTCCATCCCCACCATGATGGGAAAGGACCAAACCTCTGAGGCTGTAGACAAGGACCCAGTCAAATGCTTTCTTTTGCCTGGTCATGATGTCTCATCACAGTAATAGACACTGTAGGGTTAATTTTGGCTTCCAACAAGGGCAAACAACAGTACTGTCCTGGGGAAGGGAGGAGTTTAACCTTCATTCTAACCAAGAAGTCTCTTCCAGAAGAAGGTCTGGGGTTTCAGGGTCTATTAGGAAAGAGTGACAGAAGTGGAGCTCTCCCCCCGGAGCAGGCAAGAATTTGAGTAATATTTCTTTTAAGGGATATTCCCACATGATAGTGGTTTGTTGGGATCTAGGGCCAGGGGAGAGGTGGAGGACTGAGAATCAGGCACCTATTGAAAGACCCCCGGAAGCTCAGGCCCCCCAGGATCTCGGTCCAGGACCGAGGTCACCCCAATCACCAGGCAGAGTCGAAAGTTTGATTCAAACAGCATGAGGCTTTATTATAGTTGTTTAACGAGCTAACCCCATGTTAGCTCGGGCCTTCCATCCATCCACCATGGATGGATGGCTAGGAAAGACAGCTCGAAGCGTCTGCATAGAGAATTTATAGGGCAGCGTAAGGGGAGTGTCTAGGGGTACGCACAGGCTCGGGATTGGTGTGCCTCTGGGCTTGGAGGGTTTACCCTGTGTTGATTGGTCAACTGGTTGTTATGGCCCATAGGCCCTCCCAGGGAGGTTGCTATGCTCTGCGCATCATTGTTGTGCACTTGTCCATAAAACACACCCAGAGCCATAAAGCATAGCACCACCAGCTAACTTCTGATTGGTTCCTTGCTATGAGGCAGGCATCTGACCTCCTAGTGACCAAGACAAGGTCAGACAAGTATGTGTTACTGTCATGGCTGCCAAAAGGGGCAGGCATCTGACCTATTCCCCCATTTTTGTTTTTTAGAAATTCTAATCATGGAATTGCTGTCTCTCTAGTGTCCCCATCAGGGAGTGAGGGATATTGGCATCCCCATGCAAGGGAGTTCCTTCTGACTTAGCATTTTAACCAGGGAAAATGGGCGGCGTCGAAATGGGGAGCTGGTTCCTTCACTATATTGATGAGGAAACTGATCGGCACTCTCTGCAGTCATTATTGTCCAGGACCCCTCAAGACATAATTTTGGGGCAGGAACCTGTTTGGGAGGCCCTGAGGTCCATCAATAATGGGGGTGCAGGGGAAGACCTCTGCCTCAATGGATTCTTGGGGAATTGATTCTCCCAGAAATTGCCCATTATCATCATGGTAGGATATAGCAACATGCAGGCAGATGCGGTGCTAGAAATGTGGCTGTCACATGCTGCTATGCAGGCAACAGGAAGTAGACTGAAACACTGGATGAGGCTGAGCATATATGAGACTCAAGGCCTACCTCCACAAAGCCACACCTCCCAATAGTGTCACACCCTTTGGGGGCCATTTTCTTTCAAAGCACCACATTCCAATCTCTGGTCCCCAGAGTCTTGTAGCCGTATCATAATACAAAAATGCATTCAGTCCAACTGCAAAGGGCCCCATAGTCTATAACAGTCTCAAACTTATTTAAAAGTCTAAAGTTCAAAGTCTCTTCTGAGATTCATGGAATCTCTTAATTCTAATCCCCTATAAAATCAAAATCAAAGAGCAGATCACATACTTCCAACATATAATGGCGCATTACCATTCTACAACATAGAGAAGGGAGCATAGTGTATAAATACTGGATCAAAGCACGACCAAAAACCAGCTGGGCAAACGCCAAACTCTACATCTCCATGTCTGATGTCAAATTGCTCTTCAGATCTCTCCAATTCTTTTCAGCTCCTTGACTGCAACACACTTCTTTCTCTAGGCCTGTTTCCATTCCCTGTTATCAGCTTTCCTCAACAGGTATCCCACAACTAGGGCATCTCTTATATCTTGGAGTCTCTAAACAATCCAGGCTTTGCCTTCATAGCTTCATGCAGGCCTCTCTAGGCCTCCATTCAGGGACACCTCTGATACATGCCTGACTTCAGTGGCTTTTCTTAGTCTTTTGGGGGCAAATTCCATAGTCCCTTTCTTCTACCTTTAACTCCAGAATCATGTGGCCAAAGGTGCCAAGCTCTGCTGCTTAGTGAGGCTAAAATATTACCTATTTGTCCAACTGCATCTTCACCAGCTTTCTGTTTTCCATGGTGAGACCGGGATGGCCTCAAACTCCGAGATCCACCAGCCTCTGCCTTCCCAGTGCTGGCATTAAATGTGTGTACCACCACATCTGGATCTAAGCTTTTCTTTACTTCCTTCTCACAAGTTGAAAACTTAGCTAGGTGGGATCTTGCTCTGAGTTCACCTCTCCCTTTATTTTGTTTCTTAATTCATTTATCTCCTTGAACACTGTTCCACTTCCTGGTGCCCCTTTTCTCAATCAGTACATTTTGTATTATTTACTCATCTTGCTCCTTTTCATTATATAACTAACTCCATTGGGGTTACCACCAATAATCATAGCAGAATCAATACTAGGCTGCTTTGAGATTTCTTTTGCCAATGGAATTAATCCAAAACTCTTCATTTTAGCCTC